AGAATTTATAACTTAGACAAGGTGTCGTTCTGCTATCGTTGAACAATAGTTGGAATATATGGGAACGACATATTAATGATTCTATGGCATTTATTATAAGTTCAGTAGTGCCCGGCAATACAGCCGGGCGCGAAGCCAAGAAACGCACAGGGAGGTGGCCCACTTCGGTGGGCGGTGGGAGATGGCCCTCTTCGGTGTGCGGTGTACCATGCGGGTTGCTCCTGGTATTTCTCTGATAGCAGAGTGGACCTTGGAGCAATCCCGTGGTTGTTGTGGTCTGCTTCGGCAGACATGCCGTCGGGGCGTCCTAGTTGAATGCGTAAGCGATCCTGCGACGCCCCATTAAGACGGGGGAAGGCTTTGTTGGGTTTTAGTGGTTATTAATTACATTATTTGTAGAACTTGTCTCATCCCCAAATATTGAAAAACAAATTCTGCCTAGTAAATTATAACGAACTAGCGACTCACCATCGCTTCGCTCAGGTTCGCCCTTAGGGACGTTTTAACGTTTAGTATAGATTTCTCGTAGACGAGATATTTTTCCGCAGTACAAAGTATATGATATCATCATTACCAAATTTCATCAACATCTGTCCAGTGGTGTTCTGGTGATGCGGTCACAGACAGGCAGACAAAAATTCTAAAAAGTATAGATTCGGCTTCTGTATCCGTAATAATGTCTATTTCAATAAGATTTTCCAAAAAATATTTTATGTACAGATTCGACTCAGTTAAAATTTTATTATATGTATAGATAGATTTGTCCATTCTCACATTCGCATAGCATTTTAACTATACGACTATAAGCGGTGTCCACGTCAAAGGCAACGACGATGCAGCAACCATTTTATCATTTTTAACTGACAACACAAATAAAAGTTGTACAGCCCAGTTAGGACCTGTTCTGTTAGCAAATAGAAGATCAAAACTTGTTTATACCCATATTAGTTTTTTTTTATTGACTATGATTGACCTGCCTTCCCTTTGGTTTTCATAACTACATTTCCATATCCCTATCCTGGTGGAATCTATTTTTTTTGCGAGGATACAAACCGTATATATCCGTCCGTAAAAGTTTAAATTGTTGAAGCTGTCCCGTTAAGTAAACGCTGTGTTGACTTAATATCGGATAGATTTTATATTATAGTATAGATATTTCTTAGTTACACACACCCGAAATACAATTTGAACTCTACGCCACCTTTACCTTAAACTTCACAACTTTATCTGTTTAATATTAAAATATTCCTTATTTAGTTAGACAGCATCTAGTTTCCATACATCCGCAACACTAGGTTCTAACTTAAAGCGTAAATTAAATCCAAGTAGGTACTGCCGACAAGAACGTGTCACGAAAGTTTTCCTTCGCACTGACCATGCTTGCACACGTTTATAGATAAGACCTATATTAGTCTATCAATCGCTGTATGTATATTCGCTCGCGAATAGATAATGGTAAATTCATAAAAATATTTATATTTATACTATACTTTTTCTCTTCAAATTTGAATTTCATATTATAAATTTTTGAATGGATTTATTTAATTATATCAACTAATATTGTATTGTATTAACGGTTAGTATAGATTTCTCAGAGAAGTTAAACGTATCCTATATGTTGACCCGAATAACCAGCTATCACCATACCAAATTTCATCAAAATCTCTCCAGTGGTTTTTCCGTGATGCGGTAATAGACAGACAGACAGGCAGACAAAAATTCTAAAAACTATAGATTCGGCCTCTGTATCGATAATAATGACTATTTCAATAAGATTTAAAAAAAATATTGTACAGATTTGGCTTAGTAACAGTTTTATTATATGTATTTATTTATTACATAAATACTTATATGGGTTTCAAATATAATTAGCTAACTCAAGAGACGTTTATGTTCAAATTTCAATCAACGGGATTGTGATGTGTGAGTTGATACAAAAAATATATTTGTATATTTATATCCTTTTCCCAGGATCCAGTGGCTTTAATATCTATTACTACATAAGCTCTTATATAATTACGTCTAATATATTACTTACATAGATTTTATTTACTGTTTTTATTACTTGTCTTCAAACGCTACGCCTTGAATTAAGCATAAATTATTATTTTTATTTCGTCATATAACTTTATGAAGGAATTTTAATCGAATGTTTTTATTATTTATGAATTTGCTTATATATTTATAAATATTTGTGCTGTGTATTTATATAAGATTACCTACTAATATAATATACCATAATCAGAGATATATATAAGAGACATATCATAAGACATTCCGCGATAAACAAGAGCATTCCCAAGGAGGGTTGACGTCAGGCAGGCGGCCGGTCGTAAAACTTTTGCCAAATCCTTTCAACAGTACAGAGGATGTACTGCGCCGACCCCAAGTGATTGGGAAATGGGCAGGTAGAAGAAGAAGAAGAAGACCTACTAATATTATAAACGCAAAAGTTTGTAACAATGTATGTATGGATATATGTTTGTTACTGTTTTACGCCAGAACGGCTGAACAAATCTGGATGAAATTTGTACAGAGATAGATTATAGTCTAGAATAACACATAGGCTACTTTTTATCCCAGAAAAATATACGGTTTCCGAGAGATATTTGTTTTTGTTTTGTACGCTAGTATTTATATAAGTTAGTGGCTTGCTCTGTCTTCGTCAGCTCAATTAATGCGAATTGAACTGTATATTTTATACGAATATAGGCACTAAAGATGTTCAGTTAAGTAATTTATTGTATCTGTTGTATTTAGAGTTTAGGCTAGAAATCTTATAAATCCAATTCGGCCTAATCAGATCATGGAAGGCGTATGTTTGAAACAAATAACATACATTTTTATATACCATATACATACTCAGAATCCAAGAATTATATAGCGGAAGGCTGATAAAAGAAATGTCAAAGTCAAAAATAGTAACATGATTTCCTGTTTATGCCACTGCTCCGGATGTTACCACACAGATCGTTTAATTTCTTTTAAATAACAAGAGAAATTTTGTAAACGTGTTAGTTAAATTAATATACAATTTTTGAGAATCAAATATTAATAATAGATATAATAACTATATTATTTCGTATTTTTAAGCATTAGTTCTCTTACCCTACACTTAAAATCCCTTAGTTGTTTTATTTATTAACATTTATTTACTTATCGCTCAGTGTAGAAATTAATCAGAATTCATTAGAAACAGAATTAAATAATATTTTGTTTCTTTTCCTATCTAAATAAAGAACGAGAGAGAGAGAGAGAAATCGACGTGATTTTTGCATAATTTTGTAAATTATGTACTAGTTCGATATCGAATTCGAATTCTATAAATTGACATAACTTTTTTATTCATCAATCGATTGAAATAAAACAAACTAAACTTTGAGTGTAGCGTATCACAATACTATAGTGAAAAACGCACCCGAATCGGTTAAGCCGTTTCTGAGATTAGCGCGCACAAACGCACAGACAAACAGACAAGAATTCTAAAATTCATTGTTTTGAGTTCTATTGCGTTAATAAATCCACCAATAATAGCTTTTCTTAAATTAACCTTCCATGTACAGACAGCGATCAGTAACAATTTTATTATACGTATAGGATATTCAATGAAGTTAGTACAGATTTTAGTTAAAGGAATTAAGTAAAAAATAAAAGAGTCAAGACACGAAAAGTGACGCCAGATGCTAAGACTAAGATCGCGGGTTTTATTCCCAGTCAAAGTCTACTTAAAGCAACCAATATTATAGTAGAAAATTATCCACAGAGGAAAGTATGAAATGAATTTTTTCGGTTACGGTACATTCTCGATTAGTTATTGTAATTGTGAAGATTTGTCAACCGCAGCCTTGATAGGACCTTGACGCTCAAACTACAGAGCGTTTAAGCGTACTAATTATATATTAGTGCAAATCGTATTATATTATTAACATTTTTTATATGTTAACGCAAAATAGAAAGTCTTTGCGACACTGGAAAAATTGGCTTTCTCTTATCGATTTTATGTGATCCAAATTGGATGTAAATCTTTTTAGTCTGTTTTACACACGAAAATTTTGTTTAAACGATGTATACTATCGTACTCTACATATCACATTTCTCCATGCTTTTTATACTCAAAATTAAAAGCTTATTTAAACATTAATTACAAATGAGTCGCTTCAGACTGGTTCTGTTGTAGGTTACGTATTATACTTTAGATGACTTGTGTACCGTTCAGTTGTTCATTGAAAATCAACAAAATAAATACGTGCTCGTATCTAGGCTAGCGGTATATGCTTACTTACGCCAAAAAACCTAATTGTAGGTCAAACTTAACAATATCAGGATATTCGGTATGCAATAACCTGCTTAATATAAAATATTATTTGATTGCTTAATTCATCATTTTTATATATTATTCGCTCAAGTTTATAATGAAATCGCGTATTATTTTTCCTTGTTGCATCTTTACTATTAAGTCACTGAACTGATTTCAATGCAAATTACATAGATACGTATGTAGTTTAAGCTGCGTTTAACTATTCGGTTTGTAAAATTACACAATAATTAATATACACTGAATCTATAGTTTAATAAGGAAATTGAGTAACAAGAAAGTATTTTTTTTTCGTTAATTAGAAGTTGTTTAGGTTGGAACTTAGATTGTAATTAATCATTTGTAATTCGTATGCGTCACAGGCCAACTTTCGCCACATTTCGCTGTCACGGCCAGTCGAGAGCAGACATTGAATCGATACTAGCAAATCGCATACATCACTATCAAGGCCATTACATTTATAAACTATTATAACACGACACAAAAGTACATAGTAAAGCAGGACAGTCTAACAATTTCTATTATATTTATGAATGTACCTTTCGCATTAGCAATGTATCGATGTAAACATAATGGACTAAACAAAAGCTTCACGTCACAACGTATATATATATCGTATTCGAGTTATTGAACAGCTGTTTTATAACCGTAGCGCAAACCCGCAGGGTCGCCTGGTCTCACTTACTTGCAAAGGATCCGCCAGAAACAGCCGAAACTACTCCCATTTGGTACCTCACCCGCGTAAGATATAGTCATTGTTCAATTATCACACACTCGCGTAAGAAAGTTCGTTATTTGTATTATAGATTAAGTTACATTTTAATTTTGTATTATATTTTCTGCTCGTTTAAGGCAGCACCGTGTACGGTGTCGCGTTTATGACTGACGCCCGCGCCCGCGCAGCCTACTGTTTAGTTTACTGATGTGTAACGCAGCCGCAGGTTCTACTCGCTAGTTGTCAAGTTTAACGCTAGATGGCGCTTGTAAGAAAATGGCGGTAAACGATTTGTTAGTTGTTACTTTTTTAATTTGTTTGACTAATTGTTTGATGGGTGGTAATTGATAAATCCTTTTTTCTTAATAATAATATGAGTTTCTATATAAAAAAATTGAGTCTTAAAGTGCGTAGTATTTAGTGTAAATGTAAATACAGCATTAGGTATTTTGAAACGTTAAAGTCTAAAAACGTTAGAATTCCTAAAATACTAGTTATGAAAATTCTATAAATAGTAGATATTAAAATGTTTAAAAGTTTACAAATATGTATTTACGAAATGATAAGTTTGTAAATAAACTAGCGGCTCACCTTTACAGTTAAAATTCATACCTTGTCATATTTACCTGTAGGTACCAGCTCTACTCCTTATCCCTAGATCCTAACTTACTTCGCGACAAACATACTATTTGCTATAATAAACTTTATACCCGCAAAGTGTCATAGCTCCAAGCCTCCATGACTTGGCGTCAAGGTAGTTCTCTAGGCGTGTATTCTATATCTATAATGAAAATGTAACTAAGTCGAATCTGTACATTAAATATTTTTTGGAAAATCTAATTGAAATAGACATTATTATCGATACAGAGTCCGAATCTATAGTTTTTAGAATTTTTGTCTGTCTGTCTGTATGTTACCGCATCACGAGAAAACCACTGGACAGATTTTGATGAAATTTGGTATGATGATAGCTGGTTATCCGGGTCAACATATAGGATACTTTTTACCGCGGGAAAATATCTCATTTCTGGGCAAAAATACAAAAACTGCACTGTAAGAGTATACTACTATGTAAAACCTAACAATTAAGTTTTTGGTCATCGAACGCGGGCGGAGCCGCGGGCAATGCTAGTTATGCAATAAAATTAATAAAATTCTTATGTTTTACCATACACATACCCACAGCTTTTATCTAGTTTGGGAATCCAGAGGCTTCAACAGGTTAATGTAACAAAAAACAATTGTCAATAAAGAAATATTTTATTCTTGTTTGATATTCATATCTCAAAGTATTGTCATCTGGGACCGATTTCGAAAATATTTGATTAACAGTATATGTATCCCGTGCCTAGAGTAAATAAACTCCCCCGTCCAGTCATTTTTTACTTTTTAGTGTCTGGTTGGGAGGGTCCTTAAAATCTGTTTCCTCCTAATTGCGAGGGAAAAATTTTTATAAAATACGTGCCTACTTCTGTACATTTTCTATTATATTGATTGATAAACTATGACGTTGGTATTTATATTCAGTTGGGTTAGTTACATATATAAAATACTAGCGACTCACCTCGCTCCGCTCGGTTTCGTCCCTATTACGTTTTAAAGTTTAGTTTAGATCTATCAGAGATAAGATATTTTCCCACAGTAAAAAGTATCTTAAATGTTGACCCGGATTACCAGCTATCATCATACCAAATTTCATCAATATCTGTCTAGGGGTTTTCTCGTGATGCGGTCACAGACAGACAGACAGGCAAAAATTCTAAAAACTATAGGTTCGGCATCTGTATCGATAATACTAATGCCTATTTCAGTAAGATATTCCAAAAAAAGTTTATGTACAGATTCAACTCAGAAATTTATTATATGTATAGATTTAATTTGAATATACATAGATAATAATAACTAAAAAAAACGCAGTTTTTTTAAATTCATAGACAATACCTGTGAATATTTTTATAATAAAAGGTTAAGCACCCACGAAGCTCTTCCTTTACCTTTAGTTAATTACCTAAACCTATGGAGTTTAGGAATATATTTATATTATATATTTTTGGTCTCTTTTGTTTAGTTCTATCCGCTTCAGGAATATGTAATAATTTGCACTCCACTGCTCGGACAATCTCATCGAGATCAAACTTCTACGCAAGAGATATAGACGCAACGTGTATTATCTTCTTCTCTCTCAATCCGACACAACTGGGAAGACATCAGGATTAAACCAAAAACCGACAGATTACTGTGCTTCCGAGGCAGGAAGATAAAACATCGCCAATCGAGTGGCAACTGGCAATTTCCTTAGAGAAAACTCAATAATTTTCGGCCTGACCTGAAACTCGAAACTAGGACCCCCAGATCTGCAGGCATAAATTAATTTATTATTTGTGATATTTATGATCAGGGCATCAGTTAGATGTTGAAATCGAGAAGTGTATACTTGTTTGCTGACTAGAATGAATGAGAGGTGAGAAGTTGGATAGTGGAATTCTTCTTATCTTTAATAAATAAATAAATATGTCGGGACATTAACACACAGCACCATCTAGTTCCATGGTAAGCTACGAGGCTTTTGTTATGGTTACCAGATAGTTGATACACTACACATATATAACTATAAGTACATTCGTGCTCATCACACAAATGAATGCCCCCAGCGGGACTCGAACCCGCAACCGCTGGCACAACAAGTAGGGTCACTAAAAACTGAGCCAAACATGTCGTCAAATAGATTGCAATGACTTTTGAGAGTCATATAGATCGGAATGACTTTTGCTTAAAACAAACTTGGACACATTTGAGTTTATTTTGATACTCTATACACGATTCGACTCGCTATATATGACCCTGCTGTGAGTTTTAGCGAGTCTGACAGTCCTCTGTTCATTAATAGCGACAAGAATTTAAAAAAAAGGCAACTAAGCCTTAACTTTAAGTCCTTTTAGTAAACTAGGCAACAAAATACACATATATTTAAAAAAATATTTAATTTAATAGTTAATTGACACAAAAAGACACAACATGACAAAAATAAAACAAAATTTGATTTGATTAATATTTATTTAATCATTATTTAGTCACAAATTATTTAATATAACCTAAATTTTTAAATCGAAACTTATATAGATAACCACGCCAACCGACGCTTACCCAATTTAAGTATAGATATAGGATGTATAGCGTAAATATATTTGACGTACAAAATTCCAACACTGAAACAATGTCCACTCATCGAAACTTGCAGTCTTACAGTGGCGAAGGGTCCATACGAGACGTCTTACCTTAAAATGTATTTTGCTATAATTTTACATACATTTAATTGTTTATATATATATATATATATATATATATATATATATATATATATAGCTTTTTTTGGGAACGGCTTACCTCTGCTAAAATTCCACCCTTCGCCACTGCTGTCTTATCATATGATGCATTGCCAAGTCAAGAATAAAAAAAAACCCTTAGTCAATATATGAAATAAGTAATTTAAAACTAACCATGTATTAACTGAAGACGCCTAGTTACTTTTCCAAAATCACAAAATATGGTGAGACTAGAACAAGTTGTTAAATCTAGTTCATAACAATTTATATGGCAATGATAAACGTCTTTATGTACATATATATTAAATATATTCACCTCCTGTTACCACACCGATGCTCTCGCCATCACAGTGCCATCAATCAATATATATAAAAATTAAAATTATATTATGTACATTACATGATAACATATTCACTAAATATGAACAGAGTCAACTAAGGTGTACTGCCTAAGATTTAGAGCTTATTATAAATCTGAAGACTTCATACCCAAAAAAAATATACAAATCTGGCTAAAGACATTGTCACAAAAACCTCATGCATTACAATGTTACATTGCCGTTTCTCCGTAAGATCGAAAGACCAACCATGGACCAACCAACCGATACTAACGTCGAAAATTATATCAAATGAAAAACTTTGTTGGTTTCTCTAGCCTCATAAAACTTTTCACTCGAACTTTGTGTATAAAAAATTTAAAAATGTTTAATGTAAGAGCTTTTATATTATGTCAAACTTAATAAAAAATAAAAACTTTCAAAAGTTTTTACCGTATCGATACAAAAAATGGAGTTTATTTCATCCAATAAAGTTGGGCTACCATATTTTTATCTAGTGGTCCCCTACATTTGCTTGGAATGGACCTACGAAAATAAGACACACCGCACTTTTTACTTGGCCAAGATCTTTATACCACAGCATTCATATAAATAAATTCATGATATAACTCATGTGCAATTTCTGCTTTGGACAAATTTTAATGTATCTACTTCAAACAAAGAAAAATCAAAAAAAAATAGCTCAAATTTGTCCTGAAAGTCAACTAATCTAGTTGAACTGTCATTTTCAATGAAAAAAAAATCTATTAAAAGTATATTTTGTTTAAAGATCTTTCTTTTAGGACATTACATATTGTTTGGACAAATGCCTGCCTCTAACAACTCCCTTTCCACAACATTTTCAATAGAATCCCTATGTAGTAAGAATAACTGATACAAGTGATGTGTTAAATAATTTATTACACGTAATACATTTCAAGACATACACTACTTTAAAAAAATGGTTTCATCTAATAATTTATTAATTGATAAAGATGATATGAACTATAGAAACCATATACAACATCCATTTGATTTCATTTCTACATACAAGTGTAAACTTAGTTTTAACACTACGCAGTTCGTCGTAGACCAGACCAGACCAGATTGATAAGAGGACCATCAAAAGCAATTCTGTTCAATTCATACATTTCACCTTCTCCTTTGTATATATTATGTAAACATACACCTATCAATGTCATTTCAGTGATATAATTTCAAAATAATATTCAATTTTATCCATGATAACTTTAAGGAAGAGTAGAGGACTTAGAGTAAAGCCTTGATGCACGCCTTATTTATTTAAATAAAAAAAAATGTAGTGTTTATTTGCCTTCTTTCACATCCACTTTCTCGTTTGTTAAGAGGTAGTGAAGTTTTAAAAATTCTTTTACGATTTCCCTTTTTCCGTATTTTGCGGGTATTTTTCAGTTTTAACATGATACAAGAAATAATAAATTTAGCATGCTCACTTATTTCCCAATATAAATTGTATCAATATCGCCTTTTGCTAAATACAGTGTAAGATCTGTACTTATTTTACACATTTCTAACCTTTCTTAGGTGATATTTTAAAAAAGCTTTTTTTGTATTTGATATCTTAACTAATCAATTTAATTCCAACTATCTTGTCTCTGGTGTGGTTTGTAGAATCATTTTGTCTTTTAAATCAAATATTATTTTATTCCATCAATAAAAATATTAAAATAGCTTATTAATACTATTTTCACATGGTTTTATCGCATGCAACTTTAAAATAGATATGCTACAGCGAAGTCCAAAACATCTGCTTTCATTGAGTTATTTCTTTTTTTTGTTATTTTCTATTGAATCAGCATCAATAACATTTGCAATTAAAAAAACACCTACAGATAGTTCAAATAAAAATAATCACCATTTAAATATAGGGTACATGCAAATTTTCTTTTATTTAAACTTCAAATATAACTGTCATAATTGGTATGAACGAGGAATATTGTTCTTGAATTTAGTTGTTTCACTGTATCTATGATCGGTTGGCCGTTTCCTTTTCTGGATTTACTCAAATATTTTCGCAACTTAGCCATTTTTAAACGAAACAATTTTTCGGATATGTTTTTTGATTGTTTGTTCCCAACATCTAAAATTAAGACCACGAAAGAGATCCCAAAAAATACGTTCATTTAAGATTCGTTTACTTTTATCGTAGCTATTAAAAACATCAATTACGATTGCTATTCTCCATTCATTTGATGGACAGAGTATATAATGGCCGCTTCAAATTCTGATTTAGAGAAAACCCAGCACTTAGCTCATCTGCAAAACTTTCAGTATAACATAAGATTGTGAACTTAAACACCAAGTTACTATAGTAAATTTGGATTAGGGTAGCATATTACAATTATAATACTTCAAAACTATTTGTTGTATTATAAAATATTCTCCGACACTTAGAAGGATAGGTAACCTGGCCCGATTAGTCTTACAACTACAAATTTGACGGAATCATGTCGAGAAAAATCACAGCGCAGAAAAAGAAAACGGAAATGCTACCGGTGATGTGAAATCATGAGGAAACTACACATAAAGGGAGTGGCGTTTAACTAAACAGTTGCTCAGTAGCCCTCTCTATTTCCCAATCGTATGTAGAGAGAGCTACTCGTGCCTGATCTTCATCAATGCCCATGTCTAAAAGACGCTGGATTTTCTGATTGAACTCCCATACAGTGAAAGGGCCTCCGGCGTAGATATTTGTCCAATGCCGAGCAGTCATAGTGAACAAGTGGGGACTTTCCCTATACTGCTTAGCAACAACAGCATCCTGCGGGTCGTTAGGCTCGGCAGCGGAAAGCAAGGCCTGTATAGAAAGAAGTACGGTACGCAAAGTTAGCGCGGCGGCCCACTGATCTTTGAGGATATCCAAGCAAATGGCTCCAGTGACAGAGGACACGTTCGGATGCCAGATTTTGGTCATGAATCGGATCTGTATACAAAAAACATTCGATTATTACTGAATATTTAAATAGTTCATTGTAAAAATTGTTAGTTGTGTTAAACACATTAGAAGATGAAATCTCGTAAATAAAATTACTATTCAAATATTAAATTAAAATTCATACTAAACAAGATATTTTTATACCTTTGGAGGGTTGAATGGATATGTTTCTGGTACTTTTATTTCCAGGAGGAATGTACCTCCTTCATAGGGGGTGTCGGCAGGGCCTGCAATCTCGCCCTGCAATTCCGTCCAGCATTCGTTCACTAACTCCAATTTGATGGCACCCCCCGCAACCTGTAAACGATGAAATGTTTGAAAATTATGATCAAAATAAAAAACATATCTAAAACACCTTATAAATCCACCACACCAGACGTGTAAATTACAAAAAAATGTTGGATTTGTCTTCACCCCGAATAGCACAGTAACTATTAAAATATCAGAAAAATTCACGAAAAAAATAAAATTGAAATAAAACTTTTTAACAAAAAAATAAAAACCGACTTCAAACAAAAGCACTAAAAAGTAAAAATACATATCTTGGTGCTTTTGTTTGAAGTCGGTTTTTATTTTTTTGTTAAAAAGTTTTTATTTTCCCCTTTTTAGTGTTGACCGTAGTAGCAAAGTAAGAATTTAGAACGTGTTAGGCTTGTCAAATCAAACAAAATAAGCCCAAACTCAAAGTATCTACTATTAGCCGTTGAAGAGTTCCACCTATCCACCTTCTGGCCTTACCATCAGATCAGTTCAACAATATCGAACCACTGTAGTATCAACGGAAATAGAAACACTTGCAAAGTTTCAAGTCAATATGACAATTAGAAGTAGGTTAAATTCATCATTAGCTATTTTTCCAACCTTAGGGGTTTTTTTGAATTTTATAAAAAAAATTTTTTGATTTAATTGGGACTAATCTGGAAATATACACTTTAAAACAAAACAAAAATTGTCCAAATCGGTTAATAAATGACGGAGTTCTGAGGTAACAAACATATAAAAAACATACAGCCGAATTGAGAACCTCCTTCTTTTTGAGGTAGTCGGTTGAAAAAACCTATTCCATACTAAGCGTCAAAACGTACCTAGGACAAACCTGAGCGAAGCGAGAGTGAGTCGCTAGTATAGATAATATATTGCCAAAATTGTTGATATATTTTAACAAATGTAAAAATCGATAGTAATTAAAGGATTCAGCCAAATTGACACCCTCTTCCATTTAAAATCGGTTGAAAAATATAGAAACACCAACTTGTTTAATTAAAAATTCTGAAGTACCAAAACTATTGCGAGCATGTAAACCTATCATCGACAAAGCGTTACTCCCACTCATATTCATATTTGTAGAGCTTATATCGTGAAGCTTCCGCTCAAAACTTTTACTATATACATATGAAAGTGCATGTGCATAAAGCATTCCAGTAGCGATAGTCTATAAATTTTGCGACACGACAAAACTTTCAGTTAAATATTTAATAAAAGTAAATAAATAGCTATAACGTTATATATAAACCTATTTTTTCAGATTTTTTCGCGAATTGGAGCCGCTAGCAATGCTAGGCTAGTGCTTCATAAATTAGTCAGAGCGCAGCTAGTTTAGCAAAAACTTAGAAAAATTCTGATTGGAGAATACCGAATGTAATATTAAAATCGTATTATTAATTGATCTAATCGACCGTACGCAGGTGTACCTACTGCATAATTATTTATCATCTTTTATCATCTATACATATAACAAAATTTAGCTTTTTACTGCGGGAGAAATATCTCATCTCTGAGAAATCTATACTAAACATTAAAACCTATCTAGGGACCCGAGCGGAGCGAGAGTGAATCGCTAGTTAAAAGCTAAAGAGATTGATTTTTTGTAAATACAATCTTATTGGAAAAATTCTATATGATGATAAATATTATCGCTCATTTATTGAGGAAGAGTATCTAGCACTTAGAAGCGGAACCATTTTCTATACTAATACTAGCTGTACCCGCGGCTTCGCCCGCGATCAATCTACTAAAAAAACAAACCCTTTGTCACACCGACAGCAGCGCCACCTACCGTGTACAATTGTGAATCTAAACCATTCCAGATCCCTTGAACACACACAAAAAATTTCATCAAAATCGGTCCAGTCGTTTGAGAGAAGTTCAGTGACATACACACTCACAGAAGAATTATATATATAAAGATTATAAAGAGGTAAAGTTTGTGAGTATGTGAATTTGTAAGTTTGTGACGTTGTAGGGGGTAATCTCTGGATCTACTGAATCGATTTAGATGAAATTTGGTAAGAAGATAGTTTGACACCCTGGGAAGGACATATGACATACTTTTTATCCCGGAAATCATCCCTTAAGGGGGTGAAGTTGGGGATGAAAGTTTGTATGGGGAATCGACATAAGAGACGAACCCGAATGAAGCGAGGGTGAGTCGCTAGTTATATAAATAAGCTACACGAGTATTAAATAAACATAATTTCAACCCGATACCATCGCAAAACCAGTTATAAGGTTTATATCACAAAATGAATAATTGTAAACATAGCTCTTTATAAACGTACAATAGACTACCGACTCGTTGATCTTTGACTGGCTATTGTAATAATTGTTTGTGATATTAACTGATGTATAGAAACAATCGATTGAATTACTTTGTTAGTAAGCATCTTTGTAGCTTATAAGCATGAAAAATTATCTATTTTTCTCTTTCTTGCACAGTACCTGGGCGACCTAACTTTGCTCGGCGTTTATATATAAGTAAAAAATTGTGTTTTCTTTTCAGAAATATATAGATAAACTTAACCTGTCTACGACCGCGGAGCCACAGGTGGTTCGGTTTACAATTAATTTCTTAGAAATGAACCGCGATGTTAAAAAATACAACTTCATCTAATTACAAAATTTGATCAAAATCGTTAGGGCCGTTTCCGAGATACACGAAATATATTTATATTATATATACAAGAATTGCCCCCTTTAATTATCTTTCTCGCATATATACAATATTGTTAAGACATCCATTTACTTTTCTAGAAAGCAAATTACTTTATTTATTTGTTTGTTTGTTTGTTTGTTGGTGTACTAAACAAAAAAATTATAAATGTGTGTAGTCTCTTAATTAATATAAATTTATTTTTAATTTAGTGGTAGTACTTATAAATTTAGGCTTATAACGATTTCATTAAAATGATATAAGAAGACGCGAAGACAACGCACCAAAAGTAAATATAGCAGATGATGACCATATATTACCTAAAACTCGTGCTAAATTAAGTATCGCGCAATTTGCAGATGGATAAAAATGTGTTACACCTGCAGAGATTTTTAATGCATTTGGCAATTTATTGTTATACGAAATACATTTCTAATCAAGTGTCTTATTTATGAAATTTCATTAAAACATATTAGTTTTTTCTTAAATTCTTTGTTGGGAAAAACGTATACTGGAACATCGCCAACTAACTCTAACCAATTGTATCACCGAGAAAGATAGTGACTTGGATTTTTAAATGTGTCACAGATTAAAATAACCACAAACAAAGGAATAAGCGTTTTTATGCTTATATAGTAAATATATAATATTAAATTTGGAATTCAAAATAAACAAACTCATTAATGTTAACAGGTTTCTTCTCACTTTATGGACTGTGTGATTTAACATTTGCCAGTACTGTCTTTGATCATAAAATAAAAATATGCTTTATTCTATTGCAGATTTGTACGTAACAATGATTAAGAATATATCCTTTAGATGTCATGTTTCTATTAACAGCTTGTTGGGTTGATAGCTATGTCGGTCAGTCTCTACTGTATTGTTACCTCACATAATTTAGTTACTCGAGTACCATTGTTCTATTTTACTTAAAATTTAAAATATTTTTAATTCAGTATATTAACTAGGTACTTCAGTGTACACAATAATAGATAGTAACAAATATTTTTAACATTTTCTGAAGAACTAAAGTATGTGTTTAGTAACAACTTTTTATTTTTTATTCTTTAAGTAATTAACATTTTAATTAGATCACAATTTGACATGGCTTATTATTATTTTTCTTTTATCAAATTTAACTGACACTATATGCTATTTGAACAAATCTAAGCAATGTTTATACACTTATCCGCCATAAACAATAGAATGAAATGAGAATTTTATATATAAAGCAATATTAAAAATAAATTAATTTTGGCAGCCTTAATAATTAATAAGTATATGCAGATGCAAAAAAAAACAACACAATACAACATTCGCCTTTTGTAAAAATATGCTCTCCATACAATTCATCACACACAGTAGGCATAGCACTGTTACAAAACAAAGCACTCTTAATCTAATTTAATTTAACATTGAATATATTGTTCTATTAGAGACATTTCATATCGATTATAAAAATGTAATCATCACAGAGCACCCACCAAATCATATTAATTGTAAAGGTTACATTTATGAATATCTGCTAACAAAAAGTTCGATAGGGATAAGTTTTAGTTGTTCTAAAACACGTAACATGCTGAATCATGCCCCAATAAACTTTATTATTGTAAATAACTTAAGTTTAGTAAACAATTAATTTAAAGACATTCGCAATTCTGCTGCAAACTCAAACCATGTCTGTTAAAAAGTATGACATTGCTACACAAAACTGCAAGTAACATTTTAGATGTTGCATGGACGTCACAATTTAAGATAAACAAACATACCTCTTCGCTTTTCATAACTTCTTTGAACTCTCGTTTTATACGTTTCGCGGCTATGTTTGCCATTTCGATAGTTTATTTGTAACCGAACAATATCCAAGGAAAACACAGGAGAGAATGCGGATATTTGTTTGGCAAGTCCGTCTCGCTGACTAGTGTAAGCTTGTTGATGTATCGATATATTGAATCAAAAATATCGATACATCGATGTTTCGATATTTGTGATTCAATATATCGATATTTTTAGCCGATATATGTTGACCCGATATATCAATACAAAATATTTAATATAGAAAATCGTATGAAAAACGACTTTATTTTTCAAATTTAATTTATTAGCGGCATATTTAACACAATTCATAGTCGTAGACGATAGAAACGAACGGAAAAAAATTATTGTATTGTCTATAACTAGTATGTTTTGTTGGTGTTGCATGTATGTGTGTGTGTGTGTATGCGGCGGCCATCATGCATCACTCACTTTCACATGCCACAAATACCAGTTTATTGGAAGGGGGTAAAATACCTTCGTTTTTAATAAGATTCTCATGCAATAAAATAATATGATTTTATATAAAAAATACTACTACTTATTGTTGGGCCAGACTGAACTAAATACATTATTATTTTAAAACTGAAAATCTCTGAAAGTTTGTCCGATATTTCGATATTTTTTCTTCAGGATATCGAGATCGATATTGATATTTTAATAAATATCGATACATTGATATTTCGATATTTTTTTTGCTGCTTACATCCCTAACTAGTGCTGCGAGTTGAAACTCTTGATCGAATGCATGAATGAACAAAAAGATATTATGACTGGCTCACATTTATCAATTTTCTCTAATGGCAGCACCGTTTTTGTTCTTTACAAGCTAGGTGAGAAAAATGGTAAACCTTATACCTAGTTTAGATTTTTTTTATAATATGTGAATAATACGTGAATTATAATTTTATAACTTATTATTGTATATCTTTTAATCTAAATCTGTTTTGAATAAATATTTGATAATAGTAAAAATATTATTACTTTTTATTCGATTTATTTTTTGTTGTATACATGTAATGTTACAATCAATCGTTAGCCTACCATCAAATACGGCTGAACGCGAATAAAGTCCTTCCTCATAGGGAACATGCAAAGTAAAGTAGATTAATTATATTCTACTTTTATTAAAAATATTCGTAATACAATATCTTTTTATGCAAATAGTACCTACTTAAAACTTTGAATTAATATAAATATTTGATTGACATTTCGGTTGCCTTAGTGCTTATTTGTCCAAACAAAATACTATTTTGTACTTTAGTTTGTTAGAGTTATATTTAAAATGCTTAGAATTAAAGTACAATGTGTATTTAATACATAGAGAATTAAAATTTAAAAATCAACAATTCTGTATTAAAAAATAAATTAAAGAAGCTTCTTTAAAAAAATCTATCTTTATTTAATTTATTGTTTGAAATATTCATAAATAGTTTATATCATTTTAATTGGCTATTTATTCACTTCTGTAGTAACCATTTCCGTTATTAAAATCGTAGCGCTAATACTTTTACCCTCTGATGGCTCGCCTAAGGAAGATTCACTTCAAAACTGTTTTGGAAAATTGGTCGTATACACAAATAGGCAATGAGAACTTACTATGTAACAAAATTAGTGAATACTGAATAAAATTTTAATTGTACATAAACTAGAAACTCTTATAAATTTGTTTCACAGAGATAAGAGAGTCAAGTAAAATAGCTACATTAATAATTTAATGAAACTTTTTTTTCTATCTAAAATAATTATAATGTTTCCATGTTTTTGGCACGCAATGTAAATTAGTCTATGGTTGTTTTGGGTTTTTCAGTCAGTTTATCGGTCATTTCATTCAATCCATTCTTTCTTAACCATAATAGACAATAAAAATCTTGTACCGTACACTTACCAGTTACCACTACTTGCTTACTTCAGACCGTATTGTACAGTGTACTACGTGCAGGAGCTTTGTGCTATGGTCGATCAGATTGAGGTGTTATATTAAATTATTTTATTCCGTACGGTGTTCTTTCTCACATTCATAACTAAACATTGTTATAAAATGATGATATCTGGACGGTAGTAAGTGAATTATAGCGCCAAGTGTTAACATTATAAAGTTATGGCTGGTGATTTTAGAAGTGTGAGGACATAGTTATGCTAATTTACTTCCCATGTTACCGGGTTTCACCTATGTACCTGGCTTTAAAAGGTGGGTTTTGTATTTTATTTTATTATTATGATGAAGATTTTGTTTACGAAATGCCTGCGAATGCTATGAATTTTGGGCGCGATCTTGTTTTCTCTTTGTTTCGGGTTGCACTTGGTGAAACATAAATAAATTACAAGGCATCAACGGCCCCTCTTGTTCGTTTCTCCGCTTGCTGACGGATATACTACGTTTATTTACATTCCCGTTTTGTTCGTCAAATTCACTTAAATCTACTGTATTCATTTATTTACATATAAGGATTTTAGTAAACATTTCTCTATCGCATGCTTAAGCTTTCGATATTCTTACAATTTTGGTTAAAATAATATTATAAAAAGCGATGTAAATGATAGAAAATTAAGTGATCTTAATATTTCAATACTTTATAGTAAATACGGTTGCGATTTTCATTTAAGTATATTTTTTTGTTTGCGTGATTGTTTTCGTAGATGTTGAGTGTTGTGTTACCTACATATATAATTTTTATAATATGTTTATATTCTCTTACTATTAAATTCAGTATATTATATTAACATAGATATAATATATAATTAAAAATATATATGTACCTGTACATAATACATTTATTTACTTCCAGCTTTAATGTTTCTTTAATAGATTAGAACTTAATATTGAATGCATGTTTTAATCAAATCTGTGTATACATAGGTTTGTTTTGTATAGAATTCCATAAAGAATCCTTCTAATCATTTCTTATGTATAAGAATCTATACTAATATTATAAGGCAAAGTTTGTTTGTTTGTATGTGCTAATCTCAGGAACTACTAATATCATTTGAAAAATTCTTTTACATTAGATAGCCTGTTTATTAAACAGTATACCATTAAAAGGTATGTAGGGATGAAACCAATGAGCAAAGTCAGGATGAGTCACTAGTTATTTATTAAGTACTGTTTTAGTTATTTAATATCTGTATCAATAAAATTATTAAAATATCTCATTCTCTGCTGCATCTTCTTTACATTTTGTTAAAAGTCTTGGGGCAAAAGCACACAGTATAGTATGCGCTTAAGTGAAGCGAGGATGTATCTCTAGTTAGATATAGTTCTCAGATTAGAAAGAAAAGTTTTATTTATAAGTAAAACTATAAAAAAAGATTAACATCAAAATGCTATCTCGGGTTCGAGTACCGCTGGAGGCATTAATTTGTGTGATGAGCACGAATGTCTGTACTCCATATTTATTATTTTATTTAGTATACCAGTTTTTGCATCTGTTGTATGATGTTGTTGTATATGTATAGGCTACCGTACCCATATTACTTATGAATATTACTGTTCATTAGCAAAAATATGTTTAGCCTCAGCTAAATATAAGATTAATCTCCATATATAAAAGAATTAATATTTTGTAATAATATATTTAAGCAAATGCATGTTTAACATATTTTGTACACTGTACACAAATATTACAATGTAGTATCAAAACATCTTCCTTGTATCAAACCTCTGAATTATTTCTTCTAAGTATTTTTATGCCAATTCACTCACAGTTATTACAGCAATCTCTACACTACGATTAGTAGTAGCTTCCTCATTAATAAATAAAATTATAGTACATAAAACAGAAAAATAACTTTTAACTACTTAAAATAAATTAACTATTATTTTATGGGCTTAATATTTTTGCATTACCAGTGCACACTACTGATAATTGTGCTATATCAAGTACTAGCGACTGACCCTCGCTTCGTTTCGGGTTCGTTCTTAGACAAAAACAAATCTATCCTACGGGAACCGTATATTTTTCCAGGATAAAAAGTAACCTATGTGCTATTCCAGACTGTAATCTTTAGCTGTGCCAAATTTCATTGAGTTCCAGTCAGCCGTTCTGGTGTGAAAGAGTAGCAAACATCCATCCATCTATCCGTTCTCACAAATTTTTACATTCATATATAATATTAGTATGAATTAACATGCCTAACTAACACGCCGGCGTGTCAATAATTGAAAAAAATGCATATATGAAATGTCACTCATGTATGATTTGAAATTAAGCTCCGTATCATTCAAATAATATTGTATGGAACGAGGACAGCATAGAGCACATTGGCTTAAATCAATTATATACTGATATGTAATAGGTTAAAGAAATTGATCTCAAGCAATGAATTGTGATGATTTGATTAGAACTTGTTCTATTTTATGAGTGTATTTTGATTGTTTGGAATTTAAATATGGGGAGTGTGTAATAAAAATATAAGGAGTACATATTAGTGAAATCGGAACATTTTGATTTTGTAGGACAGAACAGTGTTCATCTCTGGATTCAAAACTTCAAAAGCAATATTTAAGTAATTGTTAAAACCTTATTTTTATTGTTGAGCAATAAAGAACAATTTTTTTTTATTTTTCCCCCAAATTTATTAAATAGGGGGTAAAAGTTTGGAGGGCAGCCATTTTTGCAGTTAAGAATGTGGAAATATATCTTCGGTTTAGATTGTCAATAAGAAATACCATCAGGAGCACTGCTTGTAATTGATTCTTTAATTCATTGTAAGTCCAAGCCAAAGTAAAACCTTTATTGTTGATAAAAATTAATATTTTTAGATTATTTAAACAACACATCAGTAACCACATCAGCATATCCTGAGACACATAGGCCTCCTCCAGCCTCTTCCACTCAATCATATGATTAATTAAATTTTTAAATTTGTCGAAATGCATTTATATTGGGTCAATATTTTTAAATAATAGAGTAGAAAAGTGCTTTTTATTACTTGATAATTATGCAATAAGTTGAAATAAAACATGAAATAAATTTTTGCGGTAATATTATTGTTTGCAAACTTTAAATTTGTTCCA